TTCCTGCTCCTACAGGGTAGCAAGCTTCATATTTGTATGTATGCCTCCCTTTTTTGGTCTGATTGTGAACTCTTCCAAAATTAACATTATTCAGTACATTTAGTAAATACCAACAGCAAGTTTTTAAAACTTCCTTTTGACGCCATTTCAGTCCATGTGAAATGATTGGCATATTTATTAACGAGGTCTCAAACTTGGCTCATTTATCTGTTTCAGTTGAGATGAAGGAATGGCTGTCGGCGAATATGAGCCTGAATTAAGTGGTGTCCAATGCTAGCTTATTCCATTCAGTTAATTAAAAGCTGCACATATTTTAAAGAACAATAGCTGCTTTTCACCACTTGTTTGCTTTTGAGTTCCCCTCGTTGGCAACAACAAAGTACATTTTAGAGGGAACTGTCAGCTTTCAAACCGATTTGAGAACTGGAAACAGGCGTCAGGGGGGTTTGTGTCGAGCAGAACTCTGCCTTTGTCATTCGGACTGGCACACACAACTGGTGCGAGTTATACTAGCATCTCTACATGACACCAGGCCAATGCAAGGAAACTGGCTATGTTATAAGAGAAGGCCAGAAATAACCCACATATCCTACCAACGCAAAGAATAACTGAAAACAGAAAAGGTCAATGAAATGAGTCAAAACAATGAATGACAGCGGAGCAAATTTTACAAATCCCCATTACATCACCCAGGGAAAACAAACCATGCTCAGCCAGAAACCACATGGGCCAGCTTGCGATGATCCCTCTTTTTCATATTTTTATTGGTTTATGATCTACTGGCGTGAATGTACTCGGGTCAGTGTTTGCAAATGCAGATTGCATACCTGGAGCTTTAGCGCATAATAGTACAAATCGCCTCGCTGCTACAAAAACTGATAAGCCTTTTCCCAGACAAAGGATGAAATAATGCACGTTCGTTTGAACGCCACAGACAGACAGAAAGCATTAAAAAAGCCCCATTCTCCTGGTGAAGATTTTCTGGAAAAGCCATGTGGAGCAAGTTTGCACATTCCTCTGTCTAAATGGACTGTATAGCCACTTAATTTTTATTCACTTTGAAACAGAGATGTTTTCTTTGGATACATTATCATTGTAGCTCTTTTCACACAGCATGAAATCCATGGCTGGTTTACTTGGCTAGAACACTCTGTCAAATACCTGAAACACTAAGTGCCTGTGTGTAGTGTATATAATGGCATGGAAATACTTATTATATTTTGTTCAGATGAAATGACTTCACCGCTTGTCAGCAATGCCTCTAGGATTATGAACATAAACCAAAGATACATGCTTCAGGTTCAAATTGAAATGTCTCTCTGTACCTGACACATTCCTTACAAGCTGCTGACTGCAGCCCTGCGATCTTTGGGTATCGAGTTATACTTACTTTGTACAGTGAGAGAATAGCTCTTTGCAGGGGCTGTTTTCGAGTTTCTCCGCTGTCTGTTGGATAAGATCTTGACTGACTTCAGGAACGCAGGCTGGAGACTGGGGAGAGAAGAGAGGGGCACATTATCTCCGTGATGAGGTGCAGATTCTCCTCTCTTAACGTGTAAAAGACACATTCATTATTTATGCCCTGAGCTGCTTCCATTCAATTCCAGCGGTTGTGTAAAAGCAAAGGAGCTTTACGTCAAACAGCAGTAAAATAGGATACCGTGGTAACTCGCTCCACATTCCACTCTGTCCTCACATTGCTTTTTTGCCTTCTCCTGTACCTTCACCTCCGTGCCCAGCCTCATGAATATGCAGGACCCACTCCTTGCCAATTCTTTGAACTGCTCCCTTGCATCCCATGAAAAATGTGCTGGCCTGAACTGTGTACAGGCCATTCTCTTAAACAAAAGAGAATTTGCCCAGTGTTTTCACTTCACAGATGATTCATTGTGCTGTCTGAAAAATCCATCTTTTTTGTTTTTTACCAGCAAAGGAAAACAAGAGCAGAGCATTTGTATTTATTGATTTACATATAAATAATATAAAAAGATGCTCGCAAGAGTGTCTGGACACCTTAATTCATCATTACAAGGACAAAAATAATCCAGCAGTTTTAAAATAATCATTTCAAAAAGGAACTCTGCCAACCAAGCACATAACCTCTTTTCATCCTCTCCTCCTTTTAGAGAGAATGTACATTCAGCCCCTTCAAAAAGCCCTTACCAAAGAGAGGTCTTTTTCAGAATGCCCTGATGGTTAACCAGTTTAGGACCTTTGGGACTAATTATCTATAAGGACAGTTTTTAGGCAGTTCACGTTCTTACTCATTGACAGTATACTGTAATTATATAAAAAAGTGTATATGTGTGTGTGCACGTGCGTGCACCTATTTATAGACATTTCTCCGATTGACGTGAAAGCCCCTTTATATAACCAATTGGATTTGGGTATTTTCAATAAATCCAGCCACAGATGACAAAATCCTCTTTCCTTGCAGAAGCCTTAACACTCGGTAAGGTTGCCCATCCATGGCCATGACCACCAGGTGTGCTGAGTAGGTGGGTCAGAGAACATCATCACTCATTCTTGGCCAGATGTTCTCATTAACTCACCCTTAGTTGGGGATATCTTGGCAAGCACTGAAATGCATTGCAGGCAAAGTTCAAAAACACTGGGAATGAAGACAGAGGAAGGGGCAGAGGTGGAGCCAGAGAAAAACTCCAGCATGGTGAAAGCTGAATTAAGTCTTTTATCTTTTCCTTCCCACTGCTGAAACATGAATATGATCCTGGTTGTGACATGAAAAAGTAAGTTTGTTCCACTTGAATGTTTTTAAATGGGAACATGGTTTACAGAACTGTCTGTGCATGCTGCGCAATGCAGTCTCACTATGCAACCTTGACAGACAATCTGCAGAACGTGCTGGATATTTTTGACCTCACTGAAATATTTCTTCATTTCCTCCATATATTCCTCCATTTCCTCAGCAAAAGATATCTAGGGAACACCCACTTTTAATTGCAGACAGAGTATATTGCTAATAATTAAGAAGTCTCACAGTTTCTTGAGTGGTAGATGAGCCCCCACATTATCATCTAAGAGATGAAGAGATGGAGACAAAGCCAGATTTTCTCAGCCTGATTGGCCACTGGGTTTGACAGGAACTGAGAACCGTAGAACAACTCTCAGTAAATCAGACAACTTACAGAAATTCTTAACTGTAGATGCCCATGACTAAATCTAAGACCCAGTTTTAGTTCAAGAGAGTAAGTAGAGGCAAGAGTGAAGCAGTGAAAGAAAAAAAGTCGTGTTTTCCAGTCTTACAGCTGCTGCACTGAAACTACGGCAAGGAAAAAAAAAGGGGTAAAAAGAAAAAGAAGGCTTTTAAAGGAATATTCAGATAGGAACCAAAGCATAATGATTAGCAGTATTTCAGTTGATTTGGGCTAGGAACCATATGAATTAATGCCTGTACTTTATACTTTGCATACTCAATCGGGTGACCTACACAAGCTTATCGGCAACCCAAAGCTTGTACGTGGCTGCGTGAGTTCACTGCTCTGAGACCTGGTTACCTTGAACATCTCTCTGATTTATAGGGTACAGAAACATCATGGAACCCCGTAGTCTTTGTACTGCTGTGAATCAGGAGTGTCTTTTCTGACGTGAATGGAGCTGCGCTTAAGTAAAATTGATACTAGGGCCTCCAATTGAAGCTACTACTAATTAAATCTAGGATTTGTTCAACATTTATAGACCAAAATTGGGATCCAAGAACTAAGTACTATACCCCATAATTAGGCATTTAGACCAAGTGACCTGATTCTTGCTCACGCCAGGCAACTTCATTTCCCAAAGAGAGGTAAGCTGCCTTGAGGTTAGTGTTGAAGATCATGCACGTGATGCATTATTACAGCAAGAATTCCATCAAATTTTGCCTAAGATCAAAGTAGATTTAAAAAACAAATTATAAGCATAAGCTAAGCCCTTTTCATAAAGAAGAAACAAAATTCTTATAGGGAAAGGGGAGAAAAATGAGCAAAAGAAACTGTAAGACAATGTAGGAAGTATTTTAAAGTGGCATGAACTGTGATTCCTCTCTCCAAGTTTGTGGGAGATGCAGTCACCACCTGGTTTTTCAAAATTGCTCATTGCTGACCTTTGGACAAATTGAGAGCAAGCTAACAATATCAAGGTAGGTCAAGACATAAATACACTGACATTCTGTACATGGACTAAAGCCTTACAGTGTAGTTCAAACACTTTACTAGACCTTACACTTTCTGTAACAAAAAAACACTTTTTTCACAGACTGATCATTTCCAAAGGTTTTGTAGGACCAGCAAAACATTTCATATCATTATGCAGCCCTTCATAGTGTTCAGGGCAGAGCAGCTGCATCATGTGTATGGGAGGAGCATACTCAACTCTTTCCAACTCTGCATGCAGTTCTAGGGAGCCTTTGTATGATCCTTCCTGAGATTTTCCTTGAGACTTCATAGTTCCCACTGCTCCCATTAAATGCCCATGACTGCCATTTTCCCTGTTTGAGTGCTGTGCATACCTACAGCCTCCGAATGATCAAACAAAGCCAGAAACAATTACAAGCCAAAACCCAACCCACCAACCTACTTTTGCTCCCCTGGAGAGCAATTAGGTAGCGCAGGTTATGAGTGCAAGAAAGCATTTGGATCCCAAGAGCGAAAGCTTCCAAAGGTAACACTTGGTCCACTTACGGAAGAAAAAGTTGCTTCTTCCCTGGAGAGGTGCAAAAGATTTCTGCAGCCCTGATGAAATGGTTATTAACACTGTTCTCCCACTGCATTATGGGTAATGGCTGTAAAAGCAAATTCGGCTTTTACAAGGGAACAGAGACACATTTTTGAACATATTAAATGCCCTGTGGCAGCTAGGAGAGCCATACACCATGATTAAGACCATTACATCTGAGCGTGTGACAAAGAATACTCTGCTAACTCTTCAGAAATACCTGCAGAAACCTGTTACGTTTTCCTGTATTCAAAACAAAACGCTGGGTAGTTTTAACAAGTACAGTCCTGTATTTTCTCTAATGGCTATTCTCTTTCCTGAAGGCAAAGAAAGTAATTCTTGATCTCACTTATGATAACGTAAATGAGAAATGATGCCAGTCAGGTCAACAGAGTAACACTAGGGTAAAGCTGATGGAACTGAAACCAGATTCATGGCCCAAGACTCTGGCAGTGCAAAAAGAAGTGCTTAAATTGATCCAACAACAAAAATTTCTCTCATCACGTTATCCTTTTTGACCAGACAGTTTAACAAAAGTCCAGAAGTCCAAACTACTTTCACCAGGTTTTAATCAAAATCTGTCTCCTGTATCTTCTCATTTATGGCCAGAAACTTTGTATAAATATTTTGCTGGGAAAGCAACATCTCAGTTTTATGATGCCCTCTTGTTTAATTTTTAAGAAAAGAACGCAACTAGGAATAGGATTAGTGATTATCTGAGAAACAAGAAATGGATATTCAGTTACTTCTGAGTGCCATTAACACACTCTGAGAAAAAAGTCTCCACTTCTACATTTTGGTTTTTTAATTTAAAAGACAAAAGAGATCCTCCCAGCTGCTCTTCTACTTCAGTAAATGCCATGAAAACAGCTGAGATATCACACAGTTGTTCAAGGTTAGTTGTGTTTGCGTCCAAAAAAATTTGGAGATCGCTGTTCCTTCCAAATTAAGCCTCTGGGCCAGCAAGATACTTTCCATATTTTGCTGAGAGGTTGACTGCGGCTTCTCCCCCTTCCTCTCCTGTTCTCTAGGATGTAACCACTGATAAATAGCACGGTGGCTAGGTTTGAAGCTGGAGGCAATATCACCCATAAATACCAGGTTCTTGGTGGGAGCTGAAAGTGTCGCAAGCTGAATGCAATCTGGTCTTCCCTGCACTACTGTAGCTGTCCCTGGCAGCCTGAATGCCAAGAGACTCATGCCAGGCAGCTGTGCCTGTGCACCATCTGGTACTGCCCATGTCCCGGCACTCGGCACCTCACTGAAGTATTGAAAAGAAGTGAAATCTGATTCAGATCAGATGAAAGCTCCCAGGCTGTGTAACTCCCCATTATCTGTTGTTTTGAATGTCATGTTGCATCTCAGAATCATAGAAACACAGGATCATTTAGGTTGGAAAAGACCTTTAAGATCATCAACTCCAACCGTTAACCCAGCACTGCCAAGTCCACCACTAAACCATGTCTCTAAGCATTACTTCTACACATCTTTTAAATACCTCCAGAAATGGTGACACAACCATTTCCCTGGGCAGCCTGTTCCAGTGCCTGACTACCCTTTCGGTGAAGAAGTTTTTCCTAATATCCAATCTACACCTCCCCTGGTGCAGCTTGAGGCTGTTTCCTCTCGTCCTCTCCCTCGTTACTAGGGGGAAGAGAAC